AAGCTGCAGGCCCATCATTGTCAACATGCCAACTGTTCTCTGCAGAGAATCAGAGAGACATGGAGACCTCATTCTAGCAGGTCTTGCTGAAAGGGAAAAATGCATAGACAACTATCTCCAGTACAAAACAATGCATTTCAAGAAAAAAAAGGGGAAACAAGATGTGACATCTATTGAACTATTGAAATGAAATAGATATGATGGATACTTAAATTCTTAAATTATTGAACAGTGCGTAGGATTTAGTGGCATCTAGCGGTGATTACAACTTTCTGAGTACAGCTCAGCCTTTCAAATGCATAAGAGAAACTATGGTGTCTGCGAAATTTCCTAACAATGTAGAAAATCCTATCTAAAGTCACTGTTTGGTTTGTCCGTCCTGGGCTACTGTAGAAACATGGTGCCAGCCTCTGTATAAGAAGACTTGCTGAATCTATAGATATAACAGCTCATTCTGAGGTCTAACGAAAACGCAATACTTATTTTCAGGTGATTATACACTAATTAAAACATACCTATCAATATTATATTCCCAAAGATCCTTCTAAATGTTACACATTGGACTTTTAATACCTGTGGCTGTGTCCCTTTGAGAAGTTTAACACAAAAAGGATTATGTTCTCTAATAATGGGCTTAGTCATTTTAAAACATTGAGTATGAGCTATACACTACTTCCAGCTGTTGTGTGATTAAAGATAACTACATTTTAAGATCATAATAATGTGCGTTCAATAGTTACATTAACACAACCACCTTGACAAAACCTATTTTTCCACTATAATATTCCCACAGAGCGACCCAGTGTATGGGCCTGCATTCTGCTGGTGTCTCCAAGCTGTTGCAAGAATGGATTGAAGCGGCTGAGTGGGCTCTAATTCATACAGTAAAAAATAATCACTTTGCAGGTAAAATTTCATCATAAAAACAGCATCTGTGGAGCCTTGCTTGTGCTTTTAGGGTTTTAAAGTTAGGGTAGGTAACACTGGAGAAATTAACAATAGATGGCTAGCTTTTCAAAACAAACTAGACAATAACCTTTCCTCAGTTCTTGCCCTCGTTGAAAAGCCACACCGATGTTGACTTTGGTTTAACCTGTTGCTTTATTCAATCTTTTTGTTTGTAGCCTTTTCTTAACTGTTGTATGTAAAGGTGGAACTATACATTTTGGCTTGTCTTTCTCTGCCATTTTTGTGCAACTAGCTCGATAGCTTTAGCAATATCTGCCTGGCCGGCTTGTGGAAGACTCCGGTCGTGTGCAATAACCGGAGTCTGATCGGCTGGGCTTATTACAGGCCTGTGACTGCTATGGATACTGGATTTTTGTTTCTCTTTTTCCCAGAGGATTTGGTTTATTGATTGCTGTCAGGATGTAAAGTGAATTTCAACAATTTTAATGAAAGAAAATGCTTCTGAAATACATTAGCTATCCTAGCTTTAATATCACTGTCTCTGACAATTTTAATAATTGATTTTACAAAATGTGTTCCAATCAAATAACTTCATTTTGAGACATAAGATTAGTTAAGAACTATATTTTATCTAATACTACATGAGTCCAGTTGGATTACATTTAATATGTGCAGTCGAGTATGATAGCAGACAGTTGGTACACCCATAAAAAGGTGCTGTAAAACTCACAGGCTACAACCAATATGCTTCTAAACTTGATATTCCTCAGGCTGGCAATAAAAATGTTTTTCAGAGATTCATATGGTGAAGGGGACTGTTACACAAGCTACTACAACTCTTCACATACTGAGAACCACACTGTATAAAGTAGGTCTGAGAAAAGTTGACGGAAAACATGTTAAACACAAAGTGCTTCACTATTTCTCTGTGATACCTGGGAGAAATGCCTGGACTAAATCAAAACACAAGAAAAAATAACTTTTTTTTCCTGGTTGTTTGTTTATTCCTATGTGCCTTATGCCAAGCTGCATAGTGCTCAAAGCAGCATGTGTGCTTTCCAGCTCTGTTCAAAGCTTAGTGGTTTTGACTGGGGTACGCAGTTGACATGTGGGTGCAGACACTTGCCCCAGACGGGGGCACTGACCCCGGTGATGCCAGCCGAGTAGGCGGCCAGAGGGGCCTGCTACTCTTCACAAATGCCTTACAGAAACAAAGTCCAGATGCTCTACCATGCTTCTGCTCTTGACACACTCGGCATGCTGCTTGTGACATTGTTTCATATGCCGCAATAAAAATACCCTGCTGTGATGAACCATCTTCCTCCGTTTCAGACAGAAGCATTAGTTTGGGTTTATTCTGCAGTGTTCAACATTATTTCCAGGGAAGTAAAGCGATTTAGTAAATGTTGAACATCTGGTCAGTTCAAGAGAATATGGAAATCCACTTAGAGCAAATTAAAACAAATGGGGTGACCGGGTAATGATTTCATAAGCATTTCCTACATTAGGATTTCTAATACTTCACAAGGAAAACACATTTAGCTCTGCACTTGTCTCATCTATCAATCATGCTTGTTGAGAAAATGTACATGTCAGTGTGCTTCTAGAGGGTATAATCTCAAGTTTTATCAACTGGGAAATGGGAGAAAAAAAACGTTTTTATTCTTTTTTTTATCAGTTTCCTAAAAGCATTTGTCTGTTTCCCCTCCCCCACCCAGCCTGGTGCCATCCTGGCAAAAGCTAAATGAATTAAACCCTCATTAAATATGCATTTCATTGTTAATCATTTGCAAGCGGAGAGGATTAGGTCGCAATTTGTGAAATGACATAAAATCTATCCCTCCTCGAAAATAGCCTCTTGAAATTGCATTAAACACAATAGTATGATACATCAAACAGTCTTTGAAGCAACAAAATTAGTAAATCAGTAAATCCATAAAACAGATATAATATTGACCTGTAAATAATTCTCATAATACAATGGCCATATGTTTACTCCATCTGTTCATGCTAATGGATTTGTAAAAATGTACTTTATTTAGGTCAACAATTCCATCTATCCATCTATCTATCTATCTATGACTACGGTTATGATTAAAAAAATTAGGACAAGAAAAGGTTTATCAAACTGGAGATCTATTGCAGCGCTTCAATTAGCCTCTACCCTTTAAAATGCTAAATAAATGTGGAAAATGTTTGGACATGATTAATTTATGGGAAGATAAATTAAAAAAAGCCTCTTTGTGCAGTACATTACCTTATTTTCATCAACCTTCACAGACAACACGGCTGATGCTCGGCATGAAATATTAATTTGAAAAGTCTCCTCAAATAACTAACTCCTCAAAATATCTGAAGCATACATAGAATTTTAGAAAAGAATGGGAGAGAAGAGCCAAGACTCTCAAGCCAAGGCTGTCAACTGGAGAGGCGTAGAGGCAGAGAAAAGAAAGACGTGCAACAGAAAACACTCAATATCCTGCTATGTGTGTTCCTACCAAACAGTTTAAAGAGAAACTGAGAGAGAACACAAGAGCGGAACACCAAACTGCTGTAACCTCCAACCTGCTTCTGGCTCAAATTAATTTCCATTCACAGGATACGTTTAAAGTGATCTGTATTTGATTGTCCTTTCTCTGATCACGTTCTACATAGAGAGAGTTAGTACACAAACAGTGTACTATTCAAGGTTTTAATGAAAATGTGTCGTTAATCCAGGTAAGAAGCTTGACGGGGGGAAAAGCAGCCATTCTTCAGCACATCTTGAATTTAAAAGTGTGTGTTCCATAACCGCCAAGGTCATTGTGATCGCGAGCGTCCAACGAGCTAGGTGTTGGTGTGGAGGACAATCCCCACTATCTCCAAGGCTGCAGGCGACGTCGCCCATGTCATCCTTATGTTTTATTCATGCGAGTCATATTATGGCATTCAGAAAGCGAGATCAAAATCTGCTCTGGCAGAAATATTTAATATCATACCTACTTCTCTACCCTTCTCCATCTGGTTAGCCAGAATGAGAGAGAAGGGTAGACAGCCTCCTTCAGCTCAGCCATGTTGGATTATTAAAAGTGAAGCTTTCAAAGAGGTCACTGCTCAGGGAAAAAAAAGGGAGGGGAAAAAAAAAACTGTAGCATGCATCAATTATCTTGGAGAGTTTGTGGCATACTGAAGACTGTCTTGTCACATTTCCCAATGTGGCTGAGCTACAGAGAGGTCCTTGGCTGGCGCTGACATTTAGAAGCTGGTGAATTGTGGAAATCTCAGTCTGTTTGTCAAAAAAAATGGACAAAAGACCACACTGACTGCTTGCAAAGGCCCTTCAGGCTTGAAATTCCTTCACAATGTCATTGGCATAACTAGACACAGGCATCTAACTCTGTCGCTCTAATTTTTCACGTCTGAACAACTGCAACTTACACTAATCAATACACGGTTTACTGGCATCGCTGGAGGACAATAGAATAATTCCAATGATTCACAACAATAAATATAGCACACTGCCTGCAAACAATCTCAGACTGGAGAAATAATCATTTTCTGTCGTATTGCTTGCACACGGCCGGTGATAAACACATAACAACAGCATGATCACGTTGGAAGTGGAACCTACAAAGCAACTTTCAGCCTCTTTTTTAAGTCTACCTCAGCTTCCTATGTTTAAATGTGCCAATACTCTGAGGGTCTTTATGTTTATTTATTACTTTATTACTTTACTCCAATATCTGGTAGTGCTACCAATTAATAACATTGATAACTATTACTTTAAATGTGTTAAATATTGTGTGGGAGAGATTGTTTCTCTCTATGTACCATGGGGGGGGGGACAAAACAAGCTAAAAGTAGCATAATCTGCCTGTTGTTTGGTAGCAGTGCATGGGCTATGAGAGTTTAGTATAAGATTTCTTCATAGCTGAAAAAGATGACTCCCCACACTCCTACACATTATCCTCTTGCTTCAGAGTTCAAATCTATGTGAAGCACAACCCCCTTTTCCACCCTCCTGTTCTCCTCCTCCTCCTCCTCCTCCTCCTAACTCCCCACCTGCCCCCCCGTCTCCGTCTCTGTGGTGGCGCAGGGAAGAAGTGGCATACCTTTGTTCATGTCAATCAGCTGCTTCTTCTTCTGCTGGCGCTCCTGCTTCTCGCGCTCTGCTTTCTCCTTCGCCAGCTTGGCTCTCTTGATCTTCTCCTCCATCTCCCTCTTCTTGTGGTTCTCCTTCACTGCTTCCTGATGAGGCACACACACAAACGCACACACAGATAAAATCAGAATCTGGCTCCTGCCACCACCACTCTTTTAGTGTCTTCACTACTGTATAGTGTTTCAGAAGCAGCAGCATGCCATCAGCAAATTCTTACCCAGAGAAGGGTTTGATAGTTCGAGATAAGCTGCTGGAATAAACAATACATCATACCTTGTGTATGGGCTTTTTAATGTAAGCATATTTGTCTGCAAATATTCTGTACTGCTTTACATATTTTCAATAACACAGACAGCTGATTTGTTGTCAATAATACATCAATATGGCTCTTTATATATATGTAAAAAGGCTAGATGATCATCACACATATGGACCATGCTAGTATATTTCCTTTGACAGTATGGGGGAGCCATTGCACGATAAAAGAAAAGCGTAGCAGGAGTGCGCCAGTCTCTGAGGAGAGAGAAAGAGATATCATCCTCCTCCTCCTCCTTCGTGACCGGCTGAAATGTCAGGAAGGAGTCAGAGAAAGAGAGATAATCAACAGTACGGATTCAGCCTTTACAAATGTGTCAGTTTGTTCTTGTGCCAACAGAGAGTAAGATGCAACCGTGTGACCTTTGGAGACAACAAAATGTTCCCCCCTCCCAGGCCTGTGGCGCAGCCCTTGACAGGACCCATCATAGGTGTTAGCGTATGTGTGTGAGAGGTCACACTGCGTGTATACATGCATATGAGCCCTATGCTGGAGTCCATGGGCATCTTTGTGCTTCTGCTCATCTGTGGCGTTCCCCCTTTATGTATGCATATGTGTGTGTGGTAGCAAGTTAAGGCATGGCCCTTGTCTGTGCACTGATATAATAAGTGGCGACAGTTAGGCCCCCCCATATAATGCCCCTGTGGTCCTGATGTGTGTGTCGTGTTGGCAGCTAAGACAGAGGGATTACAGGGATTGTGGGAAAGGAACAAGGAAAGAGCAGCTCATCATGCCAGTCAATAGTAGAGCTTTGCTCCACATCCAAGGACACGAGCCCTTATTGTCACTGTCTCCTTGTTGGATGACAAGGGCAATGAGAGGGACAGAGGGGGGGGAGAGAGAGGCAGAGATGGGGTGATGGAGGAGCCAAGTTGGGATGATAGAAAAAATCATGATTGAGAGGGAAAGCAACATAATAAGGGAGAGAGAGTGCGTTTTTGTATTATGTGCATTATGAAAATGTGGGAAGAGATGTTTTGCTTTGTCAGCTGCTACAAGTCGATGAACTGAACACTCAAAAATCAACTTACATTTTATCAGCACATCAAGGTTGTGTAAATGCTACAGCTACACTCTATAAGGGCTATTGACTACGTGCACTTTGCTGCTGTTTTGAATAGGAGTGGATGAGAGCCGTGCTGTATATTCAGTATTGAAACAGTTAACATTGTGCATTTCGTTTAAGTGATGGGCAGCTCTGGCAGCACAAATCAAATTGATTTCTGTCCTCCTCCACTGACAGGACTCAATTCATTTTGGAAGTAATATTGCTGCATTGCTCAACATCTACAGCATAAGTTGGAAGATAAATTATGCAGATTACAAATAAAATCCTGCCGGCAAAACTTATTTTAAACAAACAACTAATTCTGACTGTAAACATGATTATGCAATGTAATTATGTTGCTCTAATCACACAGCACCACTAATTACCATAGCAACAAATATGTTTTCACTGATCTCTTATTTTTCCCATACCATTCTCTTTTACTGCCCCTGTTTTGCTGTTGGCAACAACCGATTGTATCAGGTCACATTTTCTTGCCAACACTGTATATTGTAGGAGGACATACAAGAGATAAACAATCCTCATGGGATGTGTTTTCAAAGATTATCTTCACTGCAGTGAACCAGATTTAAATCTGATCGGAACATAAGACAAAAGATCTGGTTCCTCTCCACACTGCTCAGATGTTCTGTGTGAATTCCAACAATGTGGGAAAATATTTTTTGAAAAAAACCATGCGTCTCGTTTTGTCTCTTGAGAACTCTCATCTACTCGACATCAAAGTATAATATTTACAATATGATTATCAGGTAACCATGGCCTTCACACTTAATTGAGGTAAACAGTGTATAAATGTATAATATACTTTCAGTCCAACTGACAAGGACCCTTAGGTCCAGCACCACAAGAAAATTCAAATATTACATTAAAAATGATAAAGATTATGTATTATCTTTTTTTTTTTAATTAATTCTTTGAGCATCATTGAATACAACTTGCTTGAATACTTGCTTTTCTGAATATCTCAAGGCCTTCTTCAACAAATGGAACTTGCCTCAATCTGTTGATAACAGGTAGTTGTATTATTAATGTTTCTTAATAATGCTTTAAGTATAACAAATGTTGGGAGGAAGAAACATTTTATTTTATTTTTTTACTAATACATACATAATAAAAATTGTAATAATAATAAAGATTAAAACAAGAACGGTATACATACATATTTTTTTAGAAAAGGGAGAGAAATAACCCAATGGGTCAAAAGATTTCTCCCCTTTGATTATCTCCCATCCTCGGTGCTACCTAAAAACTCTAAAATAACACACTGAAACCTTGCTGTCCAGAGGCCATGTTTATGACTGGCTCTGTGCCCTGATCCCTTCTGGTGTAAAGTAGGAAAATGTGGTGGAGACACTGTATACATATTGCTCAGGGGGGTATGTAAATTCAGAGTTTTGAGTCTCAAGAAGGCAAAACAAAATGTGCGGTTTTGAATAATTGCACCTTAATGCCAGGTGGGCTTGTCAACAACACCACCGACGCTGCACATTTTCACTTTCAGGCACATAGAGGCCGTGAGACGAAGTGAGTGTATGTCACATTCATGGTCTCCTGTGTGTCTAAGATAGAGATTATAAGTGCCCCTCTCTATCTATACCTGGCTGGAAAACTGAATGCTGTGAGACCCACAGGTCCAATCTACCAACAAGGGCCAGGCAGCATTTTCCCTTTCCAGGTCTGCTCTTTCAATAATTCATGGAATGCGTTTGCTGTTCTTCCTTGACCCTGCACAACACAATACATCTCCCGCAGCATGGCTCCCCTCCCATGCATACAAGTTTGCCAGTCCAATGAGGGGGCAATGAGTATTTCCAACTGCTCAGTTGCACCAGTGATCTCACACAGAGAGTGTCACTGCTATATCTCATTTGAATTTTACAAACACTACAGCGCCTGGGCTTTAAGCAGCAAATGTGTTTATTAGCCATCTGTTACACTGTGTGCCAGGATGTGGGGGGAAATGGCTTCAAGAAGTTATAGGTTACAGATTGTGAGACTTCTGCTCTGTGGCATAGATGTATTCCCGTATTGATAGGTGACCTCCAAAAAACTGGTGCAATGACTTTTATGACTGTTTTGCACTTGTGTAAGTAAACATACTGAGAGAACATGACAGTGATTCAGCAGGAAGGTGGGGAGAGCAGCGCTTGTCAGAGCATCATCTTCAGCATTATCAGCATGATTGTGATAATTATTATCATATTGTGAAGGAATTAGCAAGCTTTAAAATATCAAATGGGCTCAAAAGTGGATGGATACACCCCCCCACACACACACACGTACGCGCACACACAGAAACACACGCAAATCATCGTTCTAATCTCATAGATGCTCTATCTTGCTACTTTGCGAACCCGGTCTGGGTCTTTTGGTCTTATTAGAAAGTCACTCAATTAACAAGGAAGACTGTTAGCTCATCCCAGCCCATCTGCTGCACTTTGATAACTCATTAATGGAAAAATCCTCATCCCCCATGCTCCTGGTCAGGATTACACATACAGCCCCTGCGATTGCATTTCACTCATACTCTATTTCAGAATATGGCAACAGCATTAAATTAACAAATTGTTGGACTCTTCGAATACTGACTCCATGTGCTGAAATCAAATAATATTTCATTGGCCACAGGAAAAAAAGAGAATAGGACGGGAGTGAGGGAGAGAAAGAGAATGAAACAGAAGGAAAATAGAGTTAATGGATTCTCTTATCAGTTACATTCAGTTCTGTGAGGACTGTCTGTCAATGCGTTTACTCAAATGCCTCATGTCGGTCGGGTGCATTAAGCCCTAGCTTTTTAGTAAAAGCAATTTAGGGTGACTGTATTGCAATGAAATTCTTTAATACTGCCGATGCTTTGTGCTGTGAATGCATTACACAGGGCAATGCAACAGAAGGAAGTTAGCGAAGATGTTTTGTCTGAGTCAAACAACTCAATGTCTCAATATTGAAATAAAATTCTGAGGCACACCAGGAATATCAAGAAGTTAAATTCAGGGCTCTTCTTTTAAATTATTAGCTGCCAAGCCGTCATAGTGTTCATTAGATTTGCTATTTGGAACAAATCAGTTATGGTTAATGTAGGTCGACTCTGTCAAAGATAAATAACGAGCAGACATCTCCCCAAAATTCCTTCAGTGACAAGAAAAGCTGAGGAGGATGCTGCAGAGGAGCTAGCTCAGTTGTTTTCACAGGGTAAGAAAATAAAACAACACTCAAGTAGAAACAACCATTGATTCCTTGTGCTCTGCAAGCAGATGGGATTAGCCTTTCTGTCAGCAAACTGAAGAGCCAAAAACTATAAATAATATCTGAAGAATATGGTGATTAAAGGATTGTTTTTATATGAATACATTAACTTATAACCACCCTCCCCCTTTTTTTTCCAACCACACCACAACACTTTATCCCACTCACTTCCCTCCCCTTATCCATAGCAGGAAAGTTTAAATCAGTAATAAAATATTCATATGCAGCTATTTGCTTGAGAGAATAATTTATTTTCTTGGGTGGATGCCTCTTTTAGAGATATGCAACTCTGGAATCCTTGAGGGAGCGTTATGTTGTGTGCTGGTGCACTTTGATCAGTGGGAATGAAAAGTTGGTTTCAGATGGGGATCAGAGTAAAGAGGGGAGACGGATTCAGACAAGGGGACCTTGCCATTCACATTAATAGATTGTGATGACTGTGAGCATGCCTTCTGGACAACATGTCATCATCCTGACACTGGGAATTTTTGGAGGTGGTGCAATGAGGGATGGATAGACTGTAAAAGGTGGAAAAGCACTTGAGTGAATGTTTAACAGACTTATCTACTCAAGAAAAAAACAACCTGTGGTGTTTACTTTGCCATTAATATTACCTCTTTAACAACCCATCTGCTCTCAGACACATTTCCTATAAGACGAGCAAGAACCAGAAGGAATATTTAGTTTTACTTAATCAAAAAAAATTCCACATTTTCCTCAATAGCTTTCTCACTTGTGTATGCTCTTTCTACTTTAATGGTAAGAATTGAGACAAACATGTAAATGTGTTATATAACCGACACAGTAAATTGCATTATAGTGTTTAGTGTCAACATATGGAATGAATTCTAAACATAATTCTTTATTTTGTGGCATGAACATGTCCCGTAATTCTAGCAGAAGGGACTATTACATATTTTCAGCCATATAGAAAATATGTTCCACTAATTTTCTTTTTTGTTAATAATTTTAAAATCTCAGGTGGAAAGTGAAACGCAATTTCATCTACTTTAGGACTTGAACATCTTTTCTCCTCTCTAGACTCATTACCCTCACCAAAATCCAGCAATATCTGCAATGCCCTGTACTGACATCACATGCGCACACACATACACACAAGAAGTTGCAAGCTAATGAAACTATGTTTAACAGGTTAAGAAGCTTGCCCAAGACTCTTTTATCAGTAAGACACAGACATTATACATTCGCCTATTCTCAGCATTTCTACATTTGAATAATATATTCTAATCTGTTTTATAACTTTGTCTTTTTCTAACAGCTCCCAAGTCAGTACTTAGAAAAATAATAAAAAGTTCACAAGTATCTGCTCTAAAAAAATAATTTTGTTCTGCAGGTTTAAGCATCTGACACTTAGTATACACAGTAATACTTATTTTTTTATTTTATTTTTCTATATATTTTTGGGACTTTCAGCTATTGGATAGGACAGCTGAAGATTGACAGGAAAGGGGAGAGAGAGAGAGAGAGAGAGAGAGAGAGAGAGAGAGAGAGAGAGAGAGAGGGGATGACATGCAGCAAAGGGCCACAGGTCGGACACGTAACCATGGCCACCGCAGCAAGGACACAGCGCCGGCACATGGCGCACCAGCTCCACCAGGAGAGCCACAGGGTCCTCCAGCATTTTTGCTTCTTATTTGGATTTACAGTACAGTACATTGTGAGCTTCTATTCATACTACCTAAATTATAATAAATACATTTCTATTCTTCTGTATTCATGCAATGTGCTTTAAAAAAACAGGGCCTAACTTGATAAATGTTGTGAATATATTTGCATATGATATACAGTATATTCAGATTTAAAACATATGCCAGATGACTGATGGACCTAAGTTATCTTAAATAAAGTTATCAAGAATGCTCCCCTGAAACACATTTTTTTGCAATAGAAAGTATCAGCGCTAAGTGCCTCTATGTAGCATATATAATTAGTACATTTAGACCTTTTTTAGACTCTATGCCCAAATCCGTTTTTTAGCATATCCAGTTTGATTTTAGAAAGTCTGGATGGCAAATTTTGTAAATCGGATTCAAACCACATTTGGAAGGGGTGTTAAAAACTATTTCTATAGAGGAGTCTCAGTCCAGATGCTCTGGCCGCTCAAACCGGATTTCGAAGTGTCTTTTGTGTTACTCGCAATGTGACACACAACGACAATGTCAAATTCAGTTTGACAGAAGTGCATCAGAGTGGCCAGTTCTGCTCCACGACCTGAATGCGCAATTGTTTGGAAGGCGAGATGATAAATCTCCATTTCTCATGTTTCTGAGTTGGATAAGCCGCATCACCAGCGTATGTAGTTACTGATGCCTATGTCGTTACCATAGCAACTCATGCAGATGGTTGGTAATGTCTGGACAAACAATTCCGATCTGATCACTTGCAAATAGCAGTGCAGATCTGACTGGAGAAACAAATCTGAACAATTATAATGTTTTGTAAAAGACTATAATAATAAGATTGTTGTAAGCAGATATAAAGACAGTGTTTATTAATGGACAGTATCAATCAGCAATACTAACTTCTCCTATGGGGACATATTTTATAAAGCCTCTACATATGGTTGTCCACAGGGAAACACATTGATGAGTGCTTATACCTGCTTACAACCTAATTATAGTCTATTATAAACCATTTATTACATGTTTATATACTAATACTGATTATAAATTGGAAATTGGGAAAATTAAAGCAAATGATACCAAGAAGATACCTATATTCAAAACCTTCCAGACTAAGATGGCATTGAAAAAAGTAAAAACTTTAGTGACAAAAAAGAGGTTCAGTTAGTGATAGTGCGGAAAAAAGAGGCAGACACAGTGGCATTATGACCTACTAAAAAATGACACGAGCAGGGAAATTGTACAGCAGGTGAGCGTGGTTACATTCTTACAGTGCAAGAACTTAAAAGGAATTGGAAAAGCATATCAAGGCCAACCAAGGGAATAGAACGAGAAAAATATGTGGCCAGAAAACACGGTGCATTCTCCCAAAACAAAATCTTTTTTTATGATGAGGAAAGTGGTCTGAGAAGATAACCCTGACAATGTCATAGTGAGGTCACTGGGGTTAAATTGGACTGAAGCATAGGGAAAATTTGATTATTACTGACACTATTATTTTTCAATATATATATTTTATATAACTCAGGACTCATTGAAAGTTTGAGGAAAATGCGCACGTTTCACACAAAAATTCTGTTCTCATTTGTTACACTTTAATGACACCCCCAATGTGTGTGTGTGAGAGAGAGAGAGAGAGAGAGAGAGAGAGAGAGAGAGAGAGAGAGTGTGGAAAAGAATGTGCGTGTGTGGGTGGTGGCTTCTGTTAGTCTGTATGTGTCTACTGTGAAGGAGCAGTAAATATGACACTTTTCATATACATAAAGTATAAACTATATACTCACCATGAAGAGGATGCGAAAGTTGGCCAGCTCTCCAAAGAAATCCTCCACACTGACGGAATGGGGGTCAAAGGCAAAATAGCTCCCTATGCTCTCGTAGAGCTTTTGCATGTTCTTGTGCATCGTGGACAGTTTTTCATACTGTTCCCGGGAATGCTTGCAGAAGCCGTGAGAAGTACAGAGTCAAGGGAAAATGAGAAATACATGTCTCACACACAGACACAGACAAAACACATTTAAAATCTACTGTAATCAGCAATATAATGACACCTCAAAAATATGTTCATCTGTGGAAAAAACAAGCCATTGTGAGAAATGATCACTTCAGAAGCTTTATGGCATTCAAAAAGCCCACCTATGTCAAGGTCAGCAAAACAAAACACTGGATAAAGAAGGGTCAGAGACAATCTAATGTGCCATTACAATAACCTCTCCAACTCACTTTGGAGTCAATGGCATGGTGAGCTAATAGCTGCAGCCCTGGAGTAATGGAAAGGTGTTTTGTAGTCAGCAGCATGACACAGATGGTTGCTGGAAAAGCTGATTGCAGTCATTGTTCTATTGTTTCTCCCAACAACAGTGGGGTCAGGTTGTTTTGAACCTCACAGCTCACGTCGCACTGTGTAATTTACTGAACAGGCGAAGCACTTTTCTCCTGGTGAATGGCTATTGACAGCCGGCATCAGTTAAGCATTATCACAGCAGCCACTGACCTCATGGAGACTGTGCTTGGAAACTCCAAGACTCACACACCCTGGGTGAGAAGAGGACAACACGACTTCACACAACACAGAAATGATATAGCTTGTATACACGTGTACATACTTGCAAACACAGACTAATTAATAAAAAAAATAAAAAATAAAAAAATACCCACAGTATAAACTCCAAACCATTGGTAGTTTCAATGTATCAGCAATGGTGTCCAACACCTGCTGTGTCCCCAATCATTTTCATCTTCATTCTTAAGAGGCTGTAGTTATTATAGCTATAACGTCTGCAATAGCTCAAAGCTCATCACTATGATGTGAAATTAAATTATTACAAATTTGGTTTTATTTCTTTAGCTCTGGCCATCAGTTCTATTAGTTATGATAATATAGTGCTTAAACGTAATTGCTGAGATCTCGGGATGTGGCAACATTTCTAAAAATAGGCCCAATGGAGCAACAGGGATGAATATTCAGATCAGTTAAAGGACTGGTCTGTAAGATGTAGTGGCATCTAGTGGTGAAGCTGCAGACTGCAACTACTTGAACATCGCTTGTGTCTGTGTTTGACAATGGGAATGACAACGGGCTGTGAATAGGAGAAAATATCGCTAAATAAGGCCATATCTAAAGTACAGCCAGTGTTTGGTTTGTCCTTTCTGGGCTTCTGTAGCCTATATTTAGATGATTGCACACAAATGAAAACATACCTATGAATTGTATTTTCCATTTCTGATAATAGATAGTCCTAAATATTACATACTGGACCTTTAAAACATTAAAAATTAGGTTTTAATGTTTTAATGCATTAGCTACTGCTTTATTTCAGGTAAAACTAAAGGGAGCACACCGGAAATGTCGTTTATAATAGGGAAACTGTGAGAGTGCACAACTACGTTAAATAAGTTTTATCTTGAAAAGAAATTTGACTAACCTATGACTTTGTTTACAACATATCTAGTCGCTGTTTAAAGATTTTACAAATTACTTTGGTGAGTACGATGTAATCATAACAGAGAGAACCGATGGCCAGAGCAAGAAAATAACACCCACATTGCACTAAACCATAATTTTCCTTTAAGAGTTTAACAATAGGTTTTATGTGTCAATATCTCTGTTTCAAACATTTGAGTTCTGTGTCAATAATTCACTGTTTCAGTAAATACAGTGCATGAACTGGTCAGTAAAGTGGCTGTTGAACAAAGGGCTCTGCATGGCCAGACGTGACAAAACACCTGATCAATTAGGTTAAAGGTATAATACGAATGAGTCTGATTGAACACGTTTCTTCGTCAAATTAAATATGTGTGATCTGTGAATTGATTTTGATGTATTCTGGAATTTAACTGATAATAAATGAATTGACACGGTTATGGTCGAGCGATAAAGAGAAGCATGAGTCAGATACTTTGCTTCTACATGTCGTGCTTACTTACTAAGGAAGCAGCTTCTTGTTCTAAGCTTCATGGGTACAGTTCTAAGCAATTTGTACTCATATGCAGTCGCCTTGGCAACATACACAGGCTGGTGGTACAGCATGTGTCCTGTGACTGTCATGGCTAAACAGTTATCAAGACATTGTTCTTTGTGAGCAATCTTCCATTATCATGTTTTTTTTACCCTGCCATTCATGTACCGTTTTGTTTGTTCTGTCATCTTGGTAGACATCCATGTTGAGGTCCAGGGATTGTTTTGTGTCCCTAGGCAAGATATTAACCCAGATGTGTATATAAATAAAACATTCACATATTCCTGTATTTGTGTGATGTATTTGTGCCCTTACTGTACATTATATTCACATGTAAGCGTGTACTGTATGTGTGAAAAGGCCTTTGTGTAGCTGAGAGGGAATAAAGGCACTGACAGGGGAGGCTGGTTACATTATCTCCCTGCAATCTTGTGTTTACCAAAACACAGCAGCAATGGCACAGTGCAGGTTAGCAGCATACCCACACACGGGTGGACGATGGACGGACTCATCTTTCCGTCTTCCCTCTTCCCTGTCTCTATCTCCTTGTCTGCCTGGACCTGATTTATCCCCCTTGCTTCTGTCAGCCTGCCTTTATCTCTTCCTTTGTCCACCTCCCCCTCACTCCACTTGTGTATGAAAACTCAGGGGCCCGACAGATAGATGTAAAAGTAAAACTTTGCCAAAGAAAGACATCTTTTTAACATCAAAACTCCTGACGGTGTACTGGAGTTGTATTTGTTTGTTAAAGTCTTAAAATGATCCCTGTAAAGAAGAAATCCCTTTCTAGGGACCAATCTACCACGGACAACGCCATATGGTTCAGAGTCATTTATTAGTGAAACTCAACCTCAGTGCTTCACCCAAAAATACTACGGCAGTCAGTTTTGAGCGCTAGACTGAGACTCATTTAAAATGCCCCCTCGCAACAATGCCTAATTGGTCAGAATGGAAAACTGACTCCAAAGGATTAAATGATAATTACAAAATCATGAAAAAAATCAATATTTATAATGCTGAACTGAACATCGAAGGATCAGCAACAGGTTCTTGCTAAAAAGCAAGCCAAATATTACGATGTCAATTTAACAGTAAAACACATGTTGATATACACTGTGGAGTGGAATCAATTTGTCCACAGTGCCTTTAGCTGAGGAAATGCTCAGTCCATAACTGTTGCCTCCCTTGCAGAATGGTAGTTAAAAAACATTGCGGCAGTGGTTACTTTTGGTGCTTGTTGTGGCTCAGTTTCTTTTTCTCCTCTCTCTCTCTCTCTCTATTTTAGACTCTCTCCCACACATTCAAATACACATGTATGCACATGCACAGTGGTAGCTGTGTCCCGCTGGGGACTGGACTGAGGCTGGCTGGGTTTTCGCTCCTTGTATTTCCACATCAAAGACATGTCATATTGATGGAGCCTGACACACATTATCCTGCAGCAACACAACCGGTACGGTAGAGCCTTCATCGAACACACACACACACACACACACACACACACACACACACAAACACACACACACACACACACACACACAGAATGAACAGGAAAATACACACACATGTATTATATATATACATATACTACACATGCACACAGACACACTGTTTTTTGTCTCTGTCCAGTTGTCCGTTACTCATTTCTTTCCCATAGTTTCCCACAGTCACTGCTGCCTTTATTGTCTCTCCTTCTCCAAAGATACATCTTTTTTTCTATTTCTTCTTCTTTCTTCCTGTCCACCACTGTCTCTTTCAAACACATTCCCTTTATAATTCTCTTTCTACATTCCCCCCTTGATATTCTCTCCATTAAATTCTCTCACTCAATCCAGAACTCCCATCTTTCTCTCCTACTCAGAGTGAACTTTCAGAAGTATGCTGTCTGAGCTGTGTCTGGTATTCACGTCACTTGGGCTCGAAACAGAGCAGAGAGCAGAGCCGATGGATCTCAAGGTAAAGCATCATGCAGCCTTTGGTTGCCCCGACACTGTTTGTCAGTCTCTGCTCTCCTTCTCTAGCTGTCCTCAGAGATGTGCTCCCGCCTGCACTTCCTGTGCACTGAACCTCACCAACGCACAGGAAGACAATTGCTCCAGGGCTGGAGGGCTTGATGTTGCAAATGTCGATGCTACCAAAGATATCTGTGGAGTGCTTACTGGATTTAATGCTAATGTTCAGATTACAACACTTAATTTTGCAAATACAGGCATGTCATAGCTCTGTGCCTTCTGCTTTTTTGCATAGGAATAACTTTTAAAGATTATTTAAAATATGGCTGTAAAATAAACAATTATAGCTCACCAAGGCACTAAACATATCACACTAAAGCTTGGCTTACACAACTCGTTTCTGACAGCGTCATATCTGACAGTGCTGATTTACAAAGACAATGTCAGATGTGAAATGTGATGTCAATGCCAGTGCTCTGCTAGTTCATGTTTTTATAATTCTCTCTCTCAAATCTCCGGTTGTTGCCAAAACCAACCCTGTCCTTGTAGAAAATCTAGAATTAGTTCTTTGTCCTGCCACAGTGTCCTCATTACTGTGTTTAATCAGTCACTTTTTTATCTGTGTGGTTGACGTGCCAGAAAGGGTACATTTAACATCAGTAAGCTGCGATTAAGGGCGCTCATTTTTAACACCACAAAGTGACATCAAAATCATATCCAAGTCAGACTTACCCTAGATGTTAAAAAAAAGGGGAAAAAAAGAAGCAGCTTTTTCTGGAGGCAGACTCCATTCAAATTCATGATAAAAACTGAGAGAAAGAGGAGAAAAATCCATTTATGAGCCAAAATAAAGTTAAAACAGTCTTCACAATGGCCACCTATGAGGATGGCAATAAATTACCTGGTTTGTTTACCTGTGCGCATGAGAGAGTTATTAAAGTGCTGCATAAAACCCTACAGTGGGGGCCCAAAAAGCCTCCTTAATAAATCTCCTGTAACCTAGTTGCATTAATGTTTATTTAATGCTTTTCCTATGTG